TCAAAGAATATATTATCGTAAATGCCACAGAATATATAATTACAGTTGCCTTGTCAAATGCTTTTATGGTTTCCATCTGCATTTTTCTCCACTCATCTGAAAGGGGTCAAAGGAAGATGGGCTTTTGATATCTACGTTCATCCTAAGTACATTCCAAACATGTTTAACCTGCTTATGGCACAAAAGGAAAATCAAACTTTTGCTGGGTTCTTTTTCAAAACTGAATGTACATCATCAAGCAGCTCTCGCTACGGTGTAAACAAATGGACTGATCGTCTGGTAGCGCAGGGATTTTTCTAGGAGACGTTCTAAGTGTCTTTGGAGAAGTTAAGAGACGAGAAAGGGCATTCTGCACGCTGTGCGCACACACACATGCACACAAAGCATCCCAGGGAAGGAACAACACAGTTGAAGTACCTTCCCCTGAGCCATCTCATCTCACCCCTGGTGTGCACACGACGCTCCGCTAAACAAACTCTTCCCATCCTGCTGGGTTTGTTAAAGTAAATATTGATCAAGGAGAGACCTATCTCCCTGACAGCCAGCATCAGGCTTGGGACTGCCACTGCTTTATGTATCTCTCAGGAGTGGACTTTAAATTGGATAAAAAAACTCAGGTTTTTTTTTTTGTCTCAGTTAACTTCGCTTCTGTTGATGTATGACAGATGAAAAGGCGGCAAGAACAGATAACGTCGTTGCCTTGCTCCTCGCTCTCTCACTCACAGCTGGTTAATTCTCGGGCCCAGAGGGGCAGAAAAGGGAAGAATTCGGGTGGAGCTATGAAATTTTGTTGGTCACAAGGATGCTCGTTACTAAGCCTCTCGCCTTGCAGGTCATCATGCATTTAGGCTGGTGTACAGCCGAGGCGGTGGGGACTAACTGGCCCTTCAGAAGGGAAGAGCTGGTACAGTGAATGGTGGAATTGTAGTCCAATGCCCTCTTATTATAGGGAAGAATTAAATGGGCAAGGAAAAAAATGAATGTGCTTTGGAAAGCATAAAATATCATCCAAATGTAAGGTGGTGGTTTGAACCTTTAAAGAGGAGCCCTAATTCCTGGGAGGCATTTTACTGTGATTAATAAATGTGTGCAACATATCGTTTCGGGAGATGCTCTGAGGAGGTTTGCTTGGGTGGTTTAATATTGGCTGAGTCAACCAGTACAGAAAAGTTGCTGTGCGTTTCCTAAGTTTTGTTTTTGTCATTTCTTAATTGCAACTCAAATCCCTGTTTTCTGCACTGTCAGTAGCTGAATGGACACGTGTACTTCTCTGGGAAGGCCACTTTTAAAATCATCTTTAGAGATTAGGTTTTGTGTATCAAACACTGAGCACCACGGTCAAAGAACAAGGTGTTATATTTAGAGTTCCCCACAAACGGCTAAATGGCGCTTGAATTTTTATTAGGATGCTCATGTTTGGAGTGACTGGCATTAGCCAGGAGCACTGAGTACGAAGCTGCTTTCAGATGTCTTCCGGGTGACAGCAAATGAGGAAGAGGAAGATTCTTCACCATCTACTGGGTTTAGGACTAAAGTCTGTCCCCCTCTGATGCTCCAGGTGGCATTCACCTTTCAGGGACTTTAAAAGATTCGATCAGTCTATTGGACATGCAGGCGGGGTCCCTAAGAGTGGGCCCACTTTCTAGTGACATGTTTTCCTACTTAAATATGTGAAGAGCAAATGCTTGCAGGAAGTGGCTATAGTTCAAGGTTGTCCTTAAACAAAAAACAAAAAACCATGTTTCCTTCGTCTAAGCAAAGGAACACATGGCAATAACAGTCTGTATCATTATTTTTTTTTTTTACAAAGCTTCGAAAGAACAATGTTCTGTTGAGCAAAATTCAGTAGCATTCTGTAAACATTAATTTAAGGAAATCAATAGACTCAGTGAGCTAAAGCCATATTGCAAGATAAACTGGCCAGAGTGCCACTTTGTCAAATAGATTTTCGTTTTCTCGGCTAGATAAAGACGGTTTCAAAACGGGGCAAACGTGTTGCAACCAAGGTTTGAAAAGTATGTGGCCTTCAAACAGTCTGCCTGTTCCTACTACAAAGCTGCATAAACATACTTTAAAAATGATAAGATTGGTTTAGGATTGATTTGGCTTTCAAATTTTACATATAGTAGATGTCTTAGTTGTCTCATAGGAAAAGAATAAAACAACATACCAGGCCTTCAGAACAGAAAACGTACTTAGGAGAAAGGGGTTAAACTGTCTTGAGAGACAGAGCACTGGGAGCAGTTTCAATTGATGCTCGACTTTAAAAAAGAAAGGAAGAAAGAAATCTTTATTCATGCTGACCCGATGGGCAACAGGCCTTCTTGCCAAAATCCCGAAGCCAAACTCTCTAGTGAGTTTGGGATCAGAGGTTTCAGCTGGTGGAAGCTGCTCACGTTCTGTGCTCGCCAGGCAATGTCATGTTAATTTGGGGGGTGGGGGAGAGCTTGGGGGAAGTGAACCCAGGGAAAGGCTAGGGAAGGAAGAGAAATGAAGATCCACCCATTAGCACCAAGGTTTTTCTCAGCCAGACCGAAAGAGCTGCAGGATAGTTAGAAAAAAGTGGCCAAAGGAAAGCATCCCTCCCTTCCTGTGCCTTGGCAGGGACCTCCATGGAGCCTGTCGCAGGACACTTCCAACTTAGACCGCTTGACACCCTCCAGTGCCATACTAGCCCTTTTAAATACTAGCAGCAACCAGCTATGGCATGGTGCAAACAGCCCCATGGGGGAAATGTAGTAAAAAAGTAAGAACAGTCACATGAAAACCGACAGGGAGGGAGGTTAAGGATCTAGCTTGAATGGACAGTGGAAACGCATGGAAAAGGATCACAGGAGTTGGATTGGGTCTGCAGGGTGGGGAGTGGGGCGCTGCTATTGGCCAAACTCCGCACATGAACTTCTCTGACAACCTCATGAGTGAAGGGAGAGACACACTCTTCTTTATTTCTTCACCTGAATTTGAGTCTTTGTCTTTTAGGAGTGGGTATTTAGAAAATACAGAATTGACAATAACATGCCTATCCCCTTAAGGTGTTGATAACGTCTGTGTCCTTAAAAACATCACAGAATTATCAACAGTGTGCTAGAGTTGAGCCTTTTGAGTACTTGTGACTTTTAGGCAACAGGAAAGAGTCTTAACATCTTCTATCCTACCTGTTAATAAATTGTGTATACATTTTAAATTAGGAAAGAATTCCACTGGCAACTCTGCCCATGGATATTACGATAAATAAAACAGTCTCTTACATAGCTCCAGTAAAAGATGGTATTAGCTTGCCAGGAACAGAATGACAAATGCCTATGACAAAATGCCGGAATTGGTTCGTGGGGCTGAAATTTGGTTCACTGAATACGCTTAAAGTGGATAGTTTATTTGCTCACTCATCGAAGTCTTGGTGTTATAGGTGTTAGGAAACATAATGATTGTCCCATTATTTGTTGTCATGGACTCAATTTTCCTTCCTTCCCAAACTCTGCATATGTTTCAAAGAGTGATTCCAAGTTTAAAGAAACAAATTTGTGAACAAGATAAAAACAAAATCAACAAAAGAAAAAGCAGCAAACACTAAAACCTACTACCCCCTCCCCTCACTCCAAGATAGTACACAGATACTCTTAATATCTTAAAACAACTGGAAACATATCACTGGAACAGGAGTTAGACCAAGACTATACCATCATAGAATCACAGAATTTTGGAGCTTCAGGACTAGAAGGAATCTCGGTGAGTTCATGTTCCACCAAAGAGAGAAACAACCTCTAGCCAGGGGTCAGCAAACTTTGTCTGTAAAGGGCTAGATAAAAAATATATAGGCTTTGTGGGCCATATTTAGTTTAGATTGGATATTCTTCTTATTTTTTACAACTGTTTAAAAATATAAAAGCCATTCTTAGCTTGAGACCATGAAAAACAGACTGTCAGATCTGGCCCATAAGCCACAGTTTGGGAAGCCCTGCTCTTAGCCGGACTTGGGGCCAACAACTTTTCTGAAGGCCTAATGTTCTTCCATTCTGCACTAATCCTGTGTGCCTCACCGATTGGGCATACCAGGTCTTCTCGCAGGGTAGCTGGGATCGACTCGCCCAAATTTAACCAGAAACGTCATGTGTTTTTTCATATACAGGTAAGGCTGCCCATGTCTATGGGAATAGAGTTAATCAATCACACATAGAAAAGGTCAAGGACCAGGAGGACTTCAGTCTTTCCCTGCTTAAAACTTCTCATTAGGAGCTTTCCTGCCTATACATATTGAAATGTCAAATCTATCTCCCTCTGCTTCATGACACATCCGACCAAATCAGCTTGATACTTAGATGGAAAAAATAAGCACGTCGATCAGTGACCCAGTTGCTCTGCAGTGCTAACCAACGTCCCTTCGAGGCAGCCCCGTGAATTACGTGCCATTTGTTCCTGAGTTCAAGACAGGCTTGATCTAGTCCTTGAAATTTAACTTTGCTGAGGTGGTGAAATGAACAGGGCCAGGCTTGGTACCATTCTTGGAGGGGAGATTATCCAAAAACAACACGGCATAAACACTGCAATATTGCATGAAGGGACACTGGGGCACAGATAATCCACAGTTACTCCTGTTTCGCTGGAGAATGCATTACGTGATTGTTTTCTGCGGCAGCTTTACCTTCGTAATTAAGCTGCGCTTAGGCTAATATTAAAACTAGTCTGCATGCCCCAGGTTCCTGTGGATGGAGTGATGCGAGTAAGGAGCCCGGGGAGAAGCTGCTAGGAAGTGGGGTTCAGGCAGGATGCGATGAGAACAGCATTGACCAAACAGCGTTTCTCGTGGGGGATACTGGCACTCTGCTAGCAGTAACTCATGACACCCCAAGTATTACCCAGGTTGTTTTGGGAAGGGACGGAGGTTATTAGTCTCAACCCCATGCCTCGGTTTTGGCTGCAAGATCTTTGTCTGTCAGAGAAATTTCAAAGGAATTCTATTGGTCTCTCCTCCACAATCACCCTTTGCAAAACTAAGGATGAATGGGCTGTATTTCAAAAGCTACTTAAGAACTTGTGAAGGGTTTTAAAAATCTCCTTTTCAAGACAGGTAAATAGTTTGGAAAGTCACAGAAACATTCCAGAAGGAACTCAGGGGCTTCTGGAAATCTGCCAGACTCCTACCAACACCTAAAATGGGACTTGAGGTCATGCTTGGAGTAGGGGAGTCTTAGGATGCTGTCAATACCTACGACTGGCCCCAATGAAAGGCAATTTTAGGAGTCTATATGCAGATTATCTTAGACACCTTCAGGTCACTGAAAATGATAAATTAACCTTTGAAAATAAGACTGTATATTAAAATTAGCCTTGAAACTATAGGCTTCACCTTCTTCTGTCTACTTCAGCTTCTGGTCATTTCTTTGCTTTCACCTCTGTTCAACACCCCCATCCCCTACCCCCTTTCTTGTTCTCAGTGAATAATATATTACCTTTTAATAAAAGTTACTTTCCAGTACCAGATCTTAATTTAAAATGTTAAGGTAGCCTTAAAGACAAAATAAAACAAAACAAAAACCAGAAGTCGGGTGCAATAACCATAACAAATAATGAAAAATACATATGACTTATGTGAGGATTTGATATCTTACCAACCACAAACTCTCACACGTACCCAAAATAAATAAATAAATAAAATCCCAATGGAAAAGACTTTTATGATCTCAATTACCATCATTTTGGGAATATTTAAAGGAAAGGAGGGTGTTACTTTGGCAAAAATGATCAAACAAGCCTAGTAGGGAAGGTAGTTATACCATCTAAAATAGCTAATTCTGTTCTGAATGAGGGAAGATGCATATCATATAGAGGTTGATACATGTTACAGATGCCGATTGTCTTTGTGGAGGTGTAGCCGACGTGGAATGTGTGGTCGGGACAGGTGTACAGACTCTCTCTGAGTTAGTTCAGGGCTGTGACCCCTCTTAGAAAACCCAAAGGCACGAGGGCGTCACTGACAAATGTCATTGCCTGGCCACCCCAGCCAAGGCAACAAATTAAGTGAGCAGCAAGTATAATGACTGGTGCTAATTCAGCCAATAAATTGTTTATGAATTTGAAAAATGAGTCCCTCTAATCCCAGTAAGGGAGTTGCCATGTCTCCAAGGGCACTGTTGAGATTTAGATCTGCAAAGAGGGCCTTGGGAGAAAAATGACAATGGGTACTCTGGAGACTTTGACTGAGATAATTAAGCTGCAGCAGAGTCACCAGGGTAGGAGTGGCCCCACATGGAAGCCATCTGGACTCCCAGGGCCTCCCTACTCACTGCTTAAAGCTTTGCATCGTGACCGGGACTCAGGAGATTTTGTTTAGAGAATGCGGAATGCCCCCTGTTCTAGAATCACAGAATGCCAGAGCTAGGACAAAGCGCTGAGTTTCATCTGATCACTTTGCAGGTGAGCAGAGCAAGAGCCCAAGGAGGCAGGTATAGCCAAAGCCAGGCCCTCCAGGCAAATGTTCCTAACACCACCCTCTGGCCTCTCCTCACTGCCCTTCTCATCTGGAACAGATGACTCCAGGAGCAGGGGGGCTGTTCCAGTCTAGGGTCGCCTTTACAGCCACTCTTGGGGCAGGAGGAATCTCTTTCTCTTATTAAAACCAGTTTTGCATTGAGTATTTGTGCCAATTCTTGCCAGGGCTCCTTGCTTGCTCGTTTGTTTATTTTCCTATTTAGGGACAGCAGAAAATGACCCACTAGCTGGACTACCAATGTAGCAGTGACAAGGTAACATTTATTCGCCTCTGCAAATAAAAGTGAACGCTTATACAGCACTCACTTTGTGCCAATACACTCATGTAGATTCATTTAATTCTCTCAACCACTCTGTGAGGTAGGTACTATTATTTTCCATATTTTACAGATAAGGAAACTGAGGCACAAAGTGGGTAAAGACACTTGCCAAGGTTTCACTGCTAGAAAGTGGCGGGGCTGGCATTTGATCCCAGGGACTGACTCTAGGCCCATGCTCTTAAATTCCATATTAGTATTGATCCAGGACCACCAACATAGAAAGATGCACACCCCCCCCAATTTTTTTTTTTTAAGATTTCAAGATGATGCTGTTATATAAAATAATGGCAACTTATAGGTGAACACTTTATTTCCTGCCTGAAACCAGAGCTTTCTTGCCATAGTTGTCATTTGTACAGACGCAAGTCCAAGACTAAGGCTGGCTCCTCATGATGCCAAATACCCCAGTACTTTAGCTACAAAAACTCTGAAGACATCCAGACAGCAGGGTGGATCTGCCCATTTTTTGGAGAAAGGGGAGCACTGGAGATGTCTCGTAGACACAATCAGACTTGCCAGACTGCTTGCCAAGAGGCTGACAAATTGGTCTCGTAGGATCATTTTAACCAGTAAGTGCTACTGAGATGCTACTCAAGAAATCCAACTTCTGAGGATACCCCCAACTTCTTTGGGGTAACCAAAAAAAAAAAAGTCCTATTGGGTGTGCAGAAGGCACAATTGCCAGACTGTGGCGTGGCTGCCCACACCTGGAATTCTGCCCTGTGGTTTAGTAATTGTAACTGTCCCTCCGAAAAACACAGTCAGGCCGGAAGCGCATTACAGAAGGGCGGCTAAAATGATCGGGGGCAGCCCACTTACTGTATGAGATTAGGCTTTTAAAAAGGATTAGAGCTCCTTAATCTGTAGAGATGAAGATTAAGAGGGAGTAATGATCAAAGTCTATAAAATCAGAAAGGAAATGGAGAATATGGCCACAACCCTGTTCGCAAATCCCAGGATATTATAACAAGGGAGATCCCTGTGGAGTTCTAGGGGAATCACTTTAAGAGCCATAAAAAGAAGATACCATTTTCCCAGCAGGTAATACATTTAGAGAATGATTATCTTGAGGAATGGTATATTCTGAGAATGGGGTTCAGTTTTTTTTTTTAAAGTTTAAATAAACTCATGGGTGATAAAACCAGGATGATCTAATACTGGGAGGTTAGGAGAGTTTGGGGTACATCCTCAGTCTTTTGAAAATGATTCAATCAGTGGTAGGTATGTATATACCAGCACTCTCCCAATGGGCTCCCTGCCCAGGGTGACAACTGGCTGGGCAGCCCGGTGAGTTGACCCCCTCTCTGCTCACCCTGCCATCTAGGTTGTTCCTAAGATTCAGAACACGGCTCATGCATATTCTTGTGCCCATGTTTGGTGGATATTTGGAAACCTGGTACAGTATGGCAACTCGTTCCTTGGAGGAGGTTTTCTTTACTCTTTAGGAGAGTCTTTGTTCTAGGATTTTGAATTAGAATTCAGGGCAATGATCTGACCATAATTCCTATAAAATACGAACTTCCTCCTTTAACTCTACTTCAAAACTAAAATCTTATGTTTTACTCCAAGTAGAGATATTGAAATCATCATACGTTGTAGTGGTCGCGGGATAAAAACTGGTTAAACTCTATTGGAGAAACTGCTCGTAATACACTAACACCGATCAGTTCATTCAAATTTAAGGGGAAATGAAACATACCGATCATGTAGTACCCATGTAGTACCCATCACAGGCTAAGCTATTAAGCTCTAAAATTGACCCCGCAGTTAATGCAGAAAAATATCTCCGTTAAGTACACAGAATCAAACTTTAGAGAGAGAAATGTTTTAGCTGTTTCCAAAACAGCCAAGTGTTAATCACTTTAAGTATCTAATAATAGGTCATTGTTGGGGGCTGGGGAGGTTGAAACAGCAGAAGGAGGGGGCAGTGGGTTTTGGGAGAGGGCAGAGTGGAGACGAAGATTCCATGTAGAGAAAAAGGAACCTTCAGACAGCTACCCCATGCACGGCGAGGCATGAAGAATATTTTCTGTACTCCCATTTTAAAGTGCTTTCTGAAAATTGGTAAAATGTGGCAACGTGCAGGAGCACATAAAGGAGCCCAGGAAAGAGGGAGGGGGACAGAGGTAGGGGACAGAGGAGAAAAGCATGCAGACAATAAGCAATATTTAATAACCCCTAATTCTAACTCCGTCTACCACCAGACACTGGAAGCAATCACTTGGTATCTTTTCAAATTGCAAGTTTGAAAACGTTAGTCCTCACGGTGGGAAGCTATTCAAAGTCACTATTCATTTGGGGAATAAAAAAAAGTGTGCGAGGTGGTCAGGGGCTGGGAAGGGTTCAAGGGTAAAGAGTCACCTTGTTTCTCACCGTGGACTTTGGAGTGATTTGGGCAAAGAAAACGGGGACATCTGGAGTTCAGAAGTCGAGGAAAATGGGGAAGAACCAGGAAGATGAATGTATGATCATCAGCGACACAAAAGAACGGAGCAAAAAGAAGCCTGGATTTGGGCACTGGCGTCTGGCAAGGAGGCCGGCAGCAGGGCTAATGAAGCATTTGCGGCGTGGGACATTTGCCAACGCAACAAAGAAGATGTGCTTGGGCTCTGCAGATGTGCCAGGGCCCCCAGAGCAAAATAATGACATAATCACCATCAGTGTCACAGACCAGACTGTACACAAGGTGACAGGGGAGGGGAGGCCTGTAACTCGCACACAGGGAGGCCTCTCGGCTGCCCTGAGGCCTGGGAGGCAGGGAGGACGACCCACCTGGCTATTTATATCTGTATCTTAAACCCAAAGGGGAGGCTTGTGCACACCATCTTGGGTGGGTGTTTTCCATCCAATCCTAGCTACTCCTGACCCGGGCAGCAGAAATCTGAAAAGCTTGCGAGAGATTTGGACTGAATGGAAGGGACCGAATAAAGAGGAGCAGAGAAGTGGCGACAGAGAGTTCTGTAAATCAAACCCTCCCTGTCTTCTGCTGGGAGTGCTCAAACTCCCATGAACCTGACCCCAGCCGCACAGCCTAAGGCATAAATACTACCAGGGATGTCAACCTTTACATACTGCCAAGAAAATTCAAGATATATTTTGGGGAACCTGTTTTGGAGGGGAGACACACATGAGCAATGAATGGGCCAATCTCAAAGTGAGTGCAAAAGCAACGGCAAGGCCCGGGAGAGTCGCCCCTGCTCATTTTCAACACAGTCTCTCAGCAGGCCTCGTCACCTGCCCGTGGCTCTTGCTCAGTAAGGTGGGTGTGTTAGTACAGCTGTCTGGCTTTTAAGTGACTTTTGTCAGTTTGAAAGTGAAAGTCTGTTTGAGGAGCTGAAAGAACAATAGCTCAGAGCCCGGAAGAAGAGCTTGTAGCACAAAGGACTTGGCTACACTAGTGTCCTTTTCATTGCTTCTCATGAAAGATTCATAAGACTAACTTTAATTTTTTATGACCCTCTTTTGGGTATGACTATATTAGTTGTGTCAACTTCCATACACAGGTTCTCTTTAAATACCAAAAGGTCTGTTGTGAAATTGTTTTCAAAGACCAACAGGGGCAGAATCGATTCTGGCTGTCCTGTTGGTCACTTCCTTCCAAAAGAAACTGCTATAGGGACACAGAGATTGCCTTTAAATAGGATTCCCTTCAGCCTTGAAGTTACCATGAACACTATAATGTAGTTATTTTAAACCTTCCTAATTTGCTAGTTCAACTGCTCCTCAGAAGAACGATTATATTTGTTTTTCTTGGCTTCACCCTATTTAACAAGAACAGTAGTATAATGACCATTAATAGATGCTGCTCCTTTTCCTATACTTTTCAAATAGCCATGTCCCTATTGCATCTTTACTTTGTGTCTCAGCCAAAAATCGGGGTAGGGGAGGGAGACAGATTGTTATTTGTTTTAATGTCATCTTCCAGAACAACACTGGAGATTGGCTTAAGGCAATCACTGAAGGTGAAACCATATTTTCAAACTAGCATAATCTACTTCCAAGCCTTAAACTCCTACACTTCACCAAAAAAGAACGCTTGTAAAAAAAAAAAAATTATTGTCTGGCATTTATATTGATGTATGTAAGAGAAATGAGTGAATGATCATTAAAAATTTCTGCCCTATGACTGACAAAGAACCAAACGGTTAAAAAGTTAAATAACATCCTGGGGGGGGGGGTTGGAAAATGAGGAAATTTGATTTTAAAAAATGTTCTCTGCCAGGTGAAAAGGGATCTCCAACTTCGAGCAGGCGTTGGTTTGCTAAATGAGTTTGTTTCATCTAGACAAAATAAACAGGCCCACTTTCAAAGGGTTGTTAGAACTTCTTCAGACATGGAATCCAGGATGGGCTGAACACAATGATCACGTCCCACTGAAAGCTCCGGCCACCACCAGCGGCTCTCAGAAGAGAACTTGCTCTCTTTCTCCTATTGATAACCCTTTGTGGGACGAAGAAAAAAAAAAAAAGCCAAAGCAAGGAGAACTGAATGTCAGACAATAGGCATCATTCCGCACACTGTTCCTGAACTTTCCTCATCTCCGAAGGACAATTAATTATGAAGGCCTTAGGGGTAGGTCGAAGCAAAGGGAAACCCACCACCGTCCCAGCACCACGGCCGCTACCTCTGTGTTTGCTAAATGGCTCCGCCGGTTGGGGTACAGTCACCGGGAGAGCCCATAGATCATTTGGGGGAGGGGTGGCGGGAGGTGAGGGAGGAAAGTAAAAGATTTTTTTTGTGTGTGCGCCTGCCCTTGTATAATTCTATTCTCACTGTGAACTCATCCATACACAAAACACAAGGACAATTTTTTTTTTTTTTTTTAAAGAGAGAAAAGCCACAGGGTAGGTTACAGTCAGAAACGGCCTCTCAGTGGTGTGTTAAAAAGGACGGTCTTTTCACCAAATCATTTCACAGAGGCAAAACAGACAAACACAAAGAGTTGAGACTTTTTCTCCTACATTAAATGGAGTAACTGATAAGGTCAGACATATGATACCTAAAGACATGAATCTGTGAACTCTTGAAGTCAAAGGGCCTCTCTGTGCCGAGGAACAATCTTTCAAAGGAAATAGATCATAGAACTCCACTGAACCCCCTTTAAACTTTATGAAGCAGGAGGAGAAAAAGCTCTAAGTAGGGAAGCTTGACAGAAGAGCCTTGAACTATTTTCTGAAGGAAAGATGAGACCCTCCCTAGGCCGCCACAAAACATCTTTTTTTTTTTTTTTTCTAAAGGCTCCTCTGAACTTTGATATGTGCCAAGACACTGCTATTGAAAGCTATATAATTATGTGCTATAGCCACTGTAGAAAACGCTTTGTTCACGCCAACAAAGGACAATAAGCAAAGTAAAGCGACATTACACTGTATCTTTTTCTTTAAGAAATGTTGAGAGAGGTCATGGAATGCTATAACTAATAAAGCTGTTGAGTAAGGAGGTTTTAAAGTTGATCTTACTGTGCTTGAATGTAACCCAATGACAAAAAAGACACAGGGAGCTAAAAATGCAATGACATTACCAAATAGATGATAAATCAATGGGCCCCGCTTCATTATACTGATGAACACCTCGAATCCCAAAAGGACAGCAGTACAAAAATGAAGCCTCGTGCACGACACGCACAATTCTCCCCCTCCACCCGCCCCCAACTCCCCGCCGCCCCACTCCCAACCTGGTGTCTTTACTGCACTCTCCTTCGAATTTCAGGCAATCGCTCCCTAGAAGGAATATCTTCCCAGACAGCCATGTGTACACATATATTTAGAGAACATTCATTTAGTCTCTTAAAAGATCAATTTGGCTTGTCAATGGTGGGACTGGCACGAGAAGAAATGGTAAGGGTTTCTTTTCCTCCTCGCCACCCACCAAGAGTGCGTTGTGCAATCATTTAAACGGCTCAGCGGCTTTGAGGCCAAAAGACTGCAACAGCAGTAAAAGGTTTTCACTCATGTGCCAGTTTTCCAAATGATCACTCATATTTAAGTATCTATTTGGAGCAGAGGGAAGCGCTTTCTAAATCCACCTGTCCTCATTTTTCTTTAAAGAGACGACAATGCCAATGAAAGGAAGACTTCCAAACACATTAACTCTTCTTAAACGTGGGTTTTGTTGAAAGTGGGAGTGGGCTGGGGAGGGGGCGTACAATATATTCCATAAGTGTGTATGTGTTTGCCGGGAACGGGGGGTGCATAGGAGGGGTACTGCTTTTTAAAATGTTCTATTTCCCAGAGGAAAATAAGAAAATGCATAAAGAGGTCTGCGGAAGTACCCTTCTTGCCTATCCTGTGTCACCTAGAAAGATGTCAAACCCACAGGCTGTATGACTGAGCACCTGCCCAGTGAGATATTAGTACTTTAGGAAATGGCATTCCCAAACCCGCTAACGAATGGATCCAGTTCCCCAGTCAGCGAATTTCCAAGCCTTCCATACCCAAACCTGGGCCGTTTGTGAGGGCAGGGGAGATTAGTCATTATTGCTGGGAACTTGGACTCTGCCTACAGGTAAATGACCAGCCACTGAGGGGCTCATGAGGGCATGTGGCTTCCCACGATAGTGGTGGTGGGAAAACGCTGCCTCACGGTACTCCAGAATGAGAAAGAGCGTTTGATGTGCCTGGATGAAGGTGTCTGTCACATTCTCTTCTCTATTTACACTCAGCCCAACTCAAACTCCCCAACCTCTGGATCATTCTGCCTTTCTCGGCTCCACCCTATGAAAGTGGCCAGCCTAGGTAATGCAGTCCAACCTAGGGTGGTGACATGTCTTTTGGCTATCTGATGGGTAGTGCCATTAACCTATGCGAGTGACACAAGTCAGTTGTCTTAGTAGTGAGTTCTTTGCGGAACAGGTGAACCAGCCTCAGAAACTGACAGTGATCATTCTCTTCCTTCCCTGCCACAGTTGTGAGGGAAAGGGGAAAAAAAAAAGCAATAAAATTCAACTCATACGCCCCTAAAAATCACATGTATCGGTATAATTTAAAAACTGGGAAGGAATCCCAAACCTCCTTTCCCTCCCCATAAAAAAATTTTTTTGGAAGCGCTTCAAAGTGAAGTGAAAATGAAGTATGGAAATATATACCATCACACCTGGAAAGACAAATTGATTGTTGGCAGTCTCATTAAACGTGAGAAGCGGGAGCGAAAGATGCAGCGCACAATAGCACGCCCCTCTCCTCCTGCACACCTTTGCAAACTCACATCCGGAATAGAGTCGCCCCGCTCTGTGCGGTACCGCCAACTCGACTCCCTTGAGCACAAACTAAGGTGTAGTTCATTCTTTTCTCCTTCAGTGTATTCTGCCGTATCCCTTGGGTCTTCTCAAGTGCTCACCACCTTACGTCTGAACGCTGTGCCAACAATCTCAGCAATTGTGGAAACTGATACAAAAGGCAGAGCAAGCGTTCCCCCCCTCCCCCCTTAGAAGGTCCTGACTCATAAAGGCCAGGACATGTAGGGGCTAGAAGAGGACAGAGATGCAAGCCACTCCCTCTTCCCTGGTGATAAAACCTTCCCCATCTGCTTTGTTTCCCTGTGGGCCAGGGGTCAGCAGCCTGTCTAGCCTTGAGAGCCAGCAGCGGCAGGGACTGGAAGGGGGTGGTGCTAGGCAATGACAGAGGTGCCACCAAGCAAGCCACAGAGGGAGAGATGGAGCAGAAAGCTGATAAAAGACAGGGGTAGAGGAGGAAAAGAAAGAATAACAAAGCAGCAGCGAGGGAGGGAAAGCAGGAGCCTCATCCTTGAACCTCCTCCTCTCACCCTGCCCCGCACCCATCTAGAACAACTTTAAAAACTGTAAAGCTTTAGGCAAATCGAAGTTTCCCTTGTTATTACATTGGTATCAGTGTCATTATTACTGCCCACATTAAATAAGTTAATACTGGCAAAACGCTTAGAAGAGCGTCTGGAACATTAGTAAACAATCAATACATGTTAGCTATTTTACGATTGCTACCAACAACTGATGGAATGCAAATTTAAGAATGCAATCAATAAGACATTTTGTTGTTTGGCCAGCTCATACTCAGTTGGGTTAATATATTCCTTTGAATTGACTGGATCTTTGGGCATTGCGTAGACACGACCTCAAAGTCTCCCTGCCATGCTCCATCTCCGTTTAAAAATTAAAAAAAGAAACAAGGTGTACAGTTCTCCACTTTGCCATTCTCTTCACTTGCTCATACTGAAATGATAGGCTCCTTTTGCTTGACTTTAAGAGGAGAAACTTAAATACAGAATGTCCAGCCCTGCACACAATATCAGCGGAGGTATTTAGCTTGAGGTGCCGGGTCCACTTTTGGCTGGCAGCCGTGGCCCAGGCTGGCAAAGTGACAAAGATAATAGCAGTGGCTTTTTAAGCATCTCACTTAAGTAGTGACCTCCAAGCACAAAGGCACGGAAAAGAAGGGCTCACCTTATCTGAAGCTTTTGTTAGTAAATGTGCCAAATCGAGAGGCTAACTTAAAAACGATTTGGTGATATGAGGATCGTGTGTGGTGTGTGCGTGTGTATGCGTGTATAAGCATGTCAGGGGAGGGCCTGGGGTGCCATCCATGTTCCTGCTTCTTTCTTGCCTCATTTTAAGTGAAGGAGGAATGAGACCCAGAGTAGTCCAATAACTTTCCAAAGTCACATGAGAAATGACAAAATTCCTGTCCGGGCCCCATACTCCTTGCAGGGAAGCAGTCTTAAAATAGCCACTGCAGATAAAGGAGAGGTGGCCTGGCTGGAAGTGGATATGATTCACAAAGAGAGAAATATCAGATGTTAATCATATTAAAGAGGATTTAGATGATGCTAAATGCAGCAGCTTGTTGGGGACCTCTTGATGCCAGCCAACCCCTATTTGTGTCATTTTGGCCCTGGTGTTGCAAGGAGGGGCTTAAGCGCCAACCAGGTAAGGTTTAAACAACCCTGCAAACCCTGATGCGCACTTTAGGATTTGTTCTCTTGAGTATGTTATGCAGCAAAAATGCAGAAATCGTCACATGAATCTTGGACAAGTCTTTTATGAAGGTTGATGTACACTGCCAAGTGAACATTCGCCC